CCCACACTCTCAGTCTTTAAGTCTCGCTTGAAGACCCACTTCTATTCGCTTGCCTTTAACACGGTGTGATTTGTTTTGGTCCGGTCTGTTCTCTACTCTGTTGGCCATTTTAGTTAGCTTCTGCTGCTATTTGTATCTGTATTTCTATTTTATGTTTTCCTGTCTGCTGTGCATGTTTGGTTCTTTTGTACAGCACTTTGGTTGGCCTTGTTGCTGTTTTAAGTGCTCTATAAATAAATTGGTATGGTATGGTATGGTATGGTATGGTATTTACGTTATGAACAGCTCTTGTTTTTATATTCAGACAGTGGTTCATTTGAGCCGGATCCCGTCAGAACAAGATCCTGGAACTCTATCATTTTGACCGCTCAGATTCGCCAACTCCGCCCCTAAAAGTCCAAAGTCATTGCGCATTTTTATTTTGATTATTTATTAAAAGAACAATGAGTGGATGTTCTGTCCGCGCCACGCTCCTGCCAGCAGAGACACGGACTGCGTGTCCCGCGGGGAGCGTCTTCATCCTCCTCCAGCTGTGCGCCCTGAGACAGTTGTTTTACGCACAGCGTCTCCACACAGCTCTGCAGGACGCACGCACAACTGCTGTGTCGGAACTCTTGCACACATTACAGTGCACAACATTTCAGATGTAATAAATAAGCTTACAGTAAAAAAAAAAAACCGAGTGAAGTGTTTGATGTTCATTACATCAAGTATTCAAAAAGCGTTCAATACAAAAACAACTGGACTTTATTTGTAACAGAAGACGTTTCGCTCCTCATCCGAGGAGCTTTCTCAATTCAAAGAGCAGAGAGTGAGAGATACAGGTTATAAGGCTGAGTGAGATAAGACACACACACACATAAGACACACACATACTGTATATGTAGATTGGCAGTTCACACCTAAAAACCTAAACAGTAGGTCTTTGTTCCTCTAATTCACAGTCGAGGCCCCTCTGTTCCCATCAGGTGTGAAAACCGGCTGGGAATCTGTTTTAAAGTTGCATTATATGTTTTTGAAAGTGGGAATCTGAGTCCTCCTCTGATTCCCACTTTCAAAAACATATAATGCAACTTTAAAACAGATCCCCAGCCGGTTTTCACACCTGATGGGAACAGAGGGGCCTCGAC